TTATGGACGGTTTTCTGTCTTTACAGATAAATTATTCTTAGACTCCAATACTAACCCCTGAGTTTACTTTCCGTCACGATAACGCGTTAAAGAAATTGTTGGTCCTTTTCTGAACCTACATTTATTATTAAGGCATGAGCACATCTGATATTAATATTTTCTCCTTTCAACTAAAGTCTTAGCATTCTTTCCATGTTTTAGAATTTGTTAACTGTAAAGAGGTCTGATAGCATAGTGCATCTTTGCCGTAGTACTCATTATATCTGCTCAATATTCTTTGTCCTCGTCTTCTTCAATACATGTACAGTGTGGTTTGTTCTGAGTACAAATTCCAGATAGTTCTGAAACCCTTTCCATGTGTCATTTTTGTGTTTCCAAAATTTCAAAAGGATTCATCATAATATAACAATTTGAATGATCATTGGAGCATAAAGACACATCTTTCTGTTCTCCAATGTATCTCCCCATTAATAATAACGTTAGGGTGAATACAATATTTAAGAGGCCCTTGTCAGGAATGAATCCATACTATATTTTTATACATATTATTATGGTCTTCCTTCCATTAGTACGTATCCCAAATGTGTCGTAAAATGGTGCTACAGACTTATTGTTCTGAGTAACCCAGACTCTGTGAGACCTAGTGGTCTAGATAAAGTTTCATGTTTTTTTTCGTAAGTTTTTTTTACAGCACTCGCAACTGCATAAGATCACATGAGCGCGTGGGCCGCGTTAAACATAATGAATAAATTTGTAGAGAATACATCATGTATTCTGTAATCAAATATGTTTGTCAAAAAGAGGATGTTTCAGTGCAGGTTCCATAAAATAAAAAGTAGGAGATATTTTAAAAGACAAAAGGAACTTTTTAAACAGATGGCCCGAACGAAAAGAAAAACTGGTCAAATAAACTTGCAGACTTGTCATGAAGCCAGCTGTACGAGGAAAGCCGTCTTGGGAAATAGTTAGGGAAGCAAACAAGCATTCCCTGTCTCTAGTCTTTTTTTAAATTAAAGTATTTCTCAAATGGCCAGACTACACTGGCACAATGACGCACAGACTGGCCTGGAAAAAAAATCTAAGTCAGAAGGACCACACTACAGACATAACAAGATGTTAAGACTTTTAGTATGTCATTTCGGTGGTTAATTTTACTATTGTGAAGATCTCTTAGTACAAAAATAGATAAGTACATGTCCCTTTACATATTATTCCTACTTTTGATATATTTGAGCCTGTATTGGAGCATCCTTTTTCTATTAACCTCATTGATTTCGAAATTATGCCATCTAGGTCTATTCACTATCATAATTTGAGTCTTAATTTGTGCATTTTAGTTTATTTGAGTTATACATGCCCTATTTAGCATACTTTTATCTCTTGGGTGAAGGACTGATCAAGATGAAGAAAACAAACCATTGCCATCTGATCATCTGAAGTCCCAATCGAAAAGACTCATAATCTAAGCTTAGGTGAAGGGGACTTTTTGCATAATTATTGTTTTTAACCAGATCGTTTATCCAGAGTGATAGGTATCATGATTTGTGGGTTGGCCTGAAAGAATACTCCCTGTCCCGGGGCGAGTGGAGTCATCACAATACGATGACACCACTTTATCACTTTGTCTCAATTCGGCCCTCCCCAGTACAACTCTGCGTGCTACATGTAAAAACGTTTAATTTGTTGGGCATTTTGATTAGTTGGGCACTTTAAAACTAGATAGCTATTTTGTGAGTACATGGTGTTTTCCTTCTATTGACTAAGTTGAAGCGTCCTTATTGAAATGTATGTGAGCGACGGACAGTTTAGGATAGTTTTGGGGAATAATATGTCTTCCTTAAGTCTTGCTTCAGGTCATTAACCTCTTTAATGTTTCCATTCTTTTTCATTGCAATTTTTGCTTAGATTCTCATCCAATGTATTATATTTTTCCTCGGTTAGTTTTGCTTGCTTTCTAACTACTGTTAGTTTTAATATTGTGTCCTGGGTCACCTGACTAAAACATCTTACACCAATCCAATATGTGCCCTGTTTTTGGGGGCTTTGTTTGGTTTTATTTTTTGTATTGTATAGATGTAAGTAATAAACGGTAACCCTTATAATTTTATTGTTATCTGGCATACAAAATTTCACTTACAGCATCTACTTGTTATGCTGAAACATTTTTGCTGCGAGACATAAAGAATTAAGATGTCAAGTTATTGTTATCCTGCCTGCATTGTGTTCTCTTTTCAAACAACGTATTATGCTTTAGTGTTCAACAAAGCGTCATTGGTAGTTCACCTTGTTTTCCTTCTCCTTGTTGTTTCTCTTTATTTGTCTTACTTTTTGCCTGCACTGAGGGATCCTTTCTTTTGTCGATAAATATTTCTTTACTCAAAAAAGAAAGAATCAATACAAAAGACCATTTTCCTTGGAAAATTCTTTTTACCATCGTTTTGTTACAGTTTTTCTGTATTTTTGAGGTAGCTTTTTACGCTAAGAACTTATGACACACTAGCTAATAAAACCATATATTACTGCTTCATGAACCAGGTCAAAACGTGGGCCAACTTGTAAGGCAAATAAAATACACCTCTCAAGGAATAAATATAGAAACTTTCTCTCCAAAAACCTTTTGAAACCTGATTGGGATTATGTTGGAGAGGCATTTATGCTATAGGGTTTGTTTGTTTGTTTGTTTTTAACAGGATAGATTCACGTACACATTCTTGAGTAGCCAGGAACATGCTGTTATTATTAGTAAGAGCTGCTTACATCAATTATTGGTTCAGGATTTCTTTAATCATGAAATTGCACAACCTACAGCTTATGGCCTTTATTCTGTTTTATTATAGTATTGCCAAATCGAGAGAACTGGACATAGCTCTGAAATCAACCAATCGTATTCTCGAGCATGCACATATGTATGAACAAGTATGTATACTCATGATCTACAAAAAATATACACCCAAGATTATATAAACACGACAAGAGAAAACCAGACACTGATAATGGAATACCTTTTAGTTCATTTTTTTTCTTGTCTCTGCAAGCTTATATGCCCCTCCCTCCGAACCCCGAGCACACATGTGCAATCTCAAATTTACAATTTCCTCTTGTTATTTCCTCTTCTTCCTCAAGCCCCTCTTCTTTCATTTTTCTCACCCACGCCCTCCCCCATCCTCACATTCCTTTAATGTATTCACAGAAATACAAACACAGAAACACGCACACATACACACACAAACACACACACACACACACACACACACACACACACACACACACACAAACACACACATACACACACCCGCACATACACACCACACACACACGTATGAGCACCCAATCACATATAGACATTCACGTTCATACGCGCACAAAAATAGACATATTTTATCTATCTATCTATCTATCTATCTATTTATCTATCTATCTATCTATCTATCTATCTATCTATCTATCTATCTATCTATCTATCTCGTGGTTGTCTATTTTCAGTTCTCCGGTAGAGCGAGCATCTCGCGTTACTCAAAAATTAATAATTCATCTCTTTGAGCTTCTTTGTCAAGAAGTCACTCATGTAAAAAATGCTAACTTTATTAACACCTTCCTTATTAGCTTAGAACTGTTCTTTCTAAAGAAGGAGTACTGAGAAATTATAATTTTATCAACGGATGAGTCCACTAGTCAAAAACTAGAGGAGAAATGAAAGTAAAAGTAAACTTAAACCCTCTCTTCAGAACTTACTTGACGCAGTACTTACATCCGGTGAATCTCCCCCATCCCCCCCCCCCATCCCCCCCACCCCACCCCCCTCCCCCGTGGTGCCACCCATGGATCTTTCGGCGTCATGCGTCAAGACGTTTTTACATATAACTTAATTTCATAATGGGTGTTCGTAATTCACTTTTACTCCGCTAAATTAGAATTCTATGGCAACTTATCTCAAACGAATTGCGTCTTAAATAACCTCATATACTACAATCGAATGCACCTGCTGTGAGCGCACATGCCAATTTTGCATAATTAATCATTGATGTGATTTCGCAAACTTCAATCTCTCCTAATTTCTCAAAATGAAGTAATTACACATGGACACGTTCATTGAATTACTCCTAAATCTGCTTTTTTATTCAGATTCCTAAATCTCAGCGCTCGTGTTTGACACAAATTTTGGAGATTAAAGAATGTACATGTCTTTTCATCCGTTGTATTATGTGAGTTTGTTATCTGCAAAAATGATACTGCGTGATAACTACGAGGGACAACGCAATACAACCTGGGGATAGGGGAAATAAATTACATTTCGATGCCTAGCCTCACCCCCTCCCCATTTGAATTCATCTTCCTTCAATGATAGAACTAAATCGGTGAGATAAAATTTGAAAACCATTCAATCAACACAGACTCAATAACGCCTCGTTTGTGGCTCGAAGTTGGGTCACCCTCTTACTGATACAGCATGTTATCAACTTAGCTAACGATGGACCCGACTGTAAACAAAAGCCCCAAAAAAGTAACCAATATGAGAACAAAGTCTCAATCCCCCCAAAAAATGGAGAAGAAAAAACCGAAGGGGGGTTTTAAAGTGCCCTTGCACTAATGCCAAAACTTGGCGGAATAATAGCTCTATTGGACCTCAGCCATTTCGAAGATTAAGCACTATGTCCTCGATGGGGACACTGCATTTTTAAAAAGAGCTTTAAAAATCAGAGAATACAAAATCATTGTCTCGTGTCTCATAATTTAGCATAAAAGTATAATTGGGAAACAGACGGTATTGACTTGAAAACGCAGAGCAAAAAAAAAACCACACAATCGTCGAAGAATTGTAGGCTAACACTTATTCTAAAATGAATCGTAATTTTTTTTTGCGGTATTTTTTTTCTCTGAAATAAAAAAAAAAAGAGAATTATGAAAGAGCGTGCATTCCCATAACAGTCTGGTATCCCATTCCCTGAGTATGCCTTGAAATAGAGAAACAAGGATTGAAAACAAGCTTCCTCTCCCCGCAGGCTCTTGAGTGCCGCCATGCAAACAGGACTCCCGTGCACCCACCCAGCACAATGAAAGGAGACACGCCGCTGAGGAACTAATTACAAGCAAACTGCAGGTAAGACCTTGTTAATGAGTGCGTTATGCTTTAGAACAGGTCATTTTTGTACGGTGCATGGCTGTGTCACTTTGTGGCTCTCCTTCTATTTGAAAGAGAGAGGAGAGAGGAGGGTGGAGAGAGAGAGAGAGAGAGAGAGAGAGAGAGAGAGAGAGAGGGGAGGGAGTGTGAGAGACAGAGTGAGAATGAGAGGAAAAGTGACAGAGAGTAAGAAAAAGTGAGACAGAGACAAAAAGTGGAGAGAGAGAGGGAGAAGGAGATATTATATATAGGAGAGAGAGAGAGAGGAGGAGGAGGAGGAGGAGGAGGAAGTGAATTGGGCCTCAGGTAGTAGGGCGTATGGGGGCTGGGAATTAGGGGTTGGGGGGTTGGAGGTTGGGAGTTGGGGGTTAGGAATAGCTAGTTTGGTTTGGGTTTTTTTAATGACGTTGGGTGGCTTTTTATGTCGCAAGACAGAGGAATGGATAAGTTGGCTTTTGGGTCTGGGATAACGCCTGGACCGGGAGGAGAGGAGGGGAGCGGGTTAGCTGATGGCGTTAAGGCTAATTGGGGTAGGAATATGATCTACACGGGGTGGAAGAAGCTGTGTGTAAAATCTGCAGTAGTGCCTCATAGGTCAGCCAGACTACGAGAAAGATGAAGATAAAGGTGGAGGTGACCGGTTGAAATAATAATAATGATAATAATAATGATAAAAATAGCTCGTCCATCGATGTCTGACGAAGGTCAATACATCCACAGAAGAGAATATTTCTCCAGCAAAATATATAAGTATTAGAAGAATACGATGGTTTGTGG